GTCGCAATTGAAAAGTATAGAACTTTTGGGGATGCAGTTGTAGAGCCAACAGGTTGGTACATTTCTTTCCTAAGCAAAATTTCAATTTCTTTAAAGCAAATAAAAATTGATGATAAATAAAAATTTTTCTTGAGCTAATTTATTTAAAATTCAGTTATTAAACTGAAGTTGAAGATAATGAATATAAATATACTGTTTGTATATTCTATTTATAACAAGTCATCAATGCATAAGAAAATCAGAGTGTTGCATATTAATGCTATTTTGAAACTTTATAATACTGTTCATATTAGGTATCTGGCTACACTGTAATGGGGTTCTTGGGTCAAGCCCCGATGGACTCATTCGTCGTCCTGCTGCATTCGGATTCAGCTATCAGAATCCAGGACTCGCTGACATATTAGAGATGTCAAACGTTAAGCCAGAAATACTGGAGGTGAAATGCCCCTTTTCAGCAAAGAATATGACAATTCCAGAAGCTATTGAAAAAGTACACGATTTCTGCCTAGGTAATAATAGTGTGTATGTATTTGTTTGAATACGTTTCATGTACTGAGATATTACTTTAAATAATTCCAATATATTAGTTTGGATAAATTTAAGTACAATTTAGCAATTGTTAAAAAAGTTTTTTCCTTCTGTTGTAATGTTAGTCCTCAAGGCAGATGATTTGCCTTCTCACTTTATTGTACAGTAAGGAACAAAATACTTATACATGTAAATATTTATTAGTTAAATAGTTTTGTCTTATATTAATGATTGAGGCACCAATGAAAATTCTTATTCTTTAAAAATCTTCAACATATATATTTTTTTCATATAGAGGTTCAGGATTTTAATGGAGTCAAGTCCTTCAAGCTATGAGAGAACCACCAATACTATGATCAAGTGCAAGGACAGCTTCATATAATTGGGAAATCCTTGTGTGATTTTATGGTCTGGACACCAAAAGACTGTGCGATTGTGAGAATTAACAAAGACATCAATTGGGAGATCAACATATCTGTTTTGACAGACTTTTATTTCTGTAAATTTCTCCCGTATTTACAACAGCTATAAGATATAACATTAAACATGGTGAAAACATTTTAATTTTAATATCTTAGTTATCTACACTTGCAAAATTCTGAGCAATTTCCTGCATAAGGGGATCCTGAAAATTGACTAAAACACAGCATAATTGAAAGACTTTTGTAGAAATATATCTAAATTGCTGCGGAACATGCCTTGAAATTTCATAATTCTTAATACGCTCATTTGCTCTTTCAACATGTATGCGTGACTTAGCAATTCTTCGACATAGTTGGACCTCACTGGAAAGGGAGGAATATTTAGATGTACTCCTTGGGGGCAACAACTTGTGAATAGTGAACCCTTTGTCTGCTAAGATCATATCACCTGGAGATAACTGTTCTAAGACTTTACAATGTTCTACAATTGCAACATCAGATGTGCTGCCAGGGTGCAATTTAGTAATAAATACCAAAGCACCATTAGGTGCAACACCTGTAACACTTTTAACAGTGTGAGAATTTTTGTATCCGCTGTATGTGCTGGCCTGCAATCTCATATCATTCCCTGGAACATCCTGGGTGATTTCTGTTGCATCAAGTACTATTCTACATGAACTAAAATCCCCAAAACTTGTAGGCATAGACCCTTGCACATTCGTCATGAAATTTTGTGGATGTAATGATTAGGTTCTTTAATTGTGCTCATTGGATTTAAAAATTCGAAGCTTTTATTAGTTTCCATGGAAAGGGGGGAAAAGTCAAAATTCTTGAACTTCGATTTTTAAATCAAAGTACTGAAAGTACAGATAGGTTTGATGGTTGTCCAAGTTTGAGTTCTAGAAAAATGTCCATCCAATTGAGCTAAAACCTTTTTAAGGCTAATAGGCATGTTGTGTAGATGTATGGAACAAAGGTCATTTTGTGTGCATACGCATTTACGTGCGGATGCGTGCAACATTAAATGACTTGTATACTGAATATTGCTTTAACTTTTACACTTTTTTGATGAAATGCTCATTTCATAAGGATATTATATAAGGATATATTAATAGTGTAGATAATATGACATTGTCAGATTAGCACGAAATGATGTGCATGCACGTGCACTTTGCTCTGATTGGCTGAAACAAAAATTTTAATATCTCTTTCTTTTTTGATGAAATACATTGAAATTTTAAATAAGTCATGCATTACGACAAGTCATGCATTACTACAATATGATATATAACAATAATCATGAAAACATGTGCATGCATGTGCACTGCAATCTGATTGGCTAAAACTTTAAATGGCTATAACTACTCTAGTTTTGAACCAAACAGGATGGGATTTATAACTTGCATATGCATGCACATGCGCTTAGCTCCGATTTTAAAATCAAAGTACCGAAAGGACTGATACGAGTTGATGGTTGTCCAAGCTTAGCTAATGGGCATAGTATTACTGATGACAAAATGAAAATTCTCCAGTTCGGGAAACATACGCTATTGCTTGCAATAGCAGACTTTCTAGTCATTATGTCGTCCCGAACGAAGTTGGGGACGACATATTGCGATTGTATGCATGTTTAAATACATCCTCAGTCTATCAGTAATATGATCATTTTTCTGCTAACTGTTGTTGTTGAAACGCAGGTAACAAAATTCGATGATAATCAGCATGCACAAAATTTTGCTGGCTAACTGTGACCTCTTAGCAATTCTTAGCTTCGGACGTAGGAAATATTGATCCTTAGTAGTGCCTGACGCCATGGCATAAGGCAAGAAAAAAAAAATGCTCAATAACAATAAAGAACAAGTATATAAAGCTCAAAAATAAAAAGATAAAATCACCCTTATACTTCATCAAAGTTAAACCTATTGTTCTTATATAAAATTTAACGATGCTTTTTCATTCGCTGCATCTAATAATTCCTTATATCATTCATACTTTAACTGAAACCTGTTCTTTTCACCTGTGTGCTGTTCTTAAGCCCGGCTTTCAGTACTTTCAGTACTTTGATTTTTTCTTCAAAAAGTATGTGAGATATAGTAGATCCCTAAAATTGTAATATTTCTACTACTAACATAACAATATATTGTAAATAATGTATAAGAAAATAATTTTTATCATAGGAAAAAAAAGAAGAAATTACAGAGTTGCAAAATTTTTATCTTAGTCGTAAGATTTTTTTTTTGTGGATAGGGCAACTGATCTCACTTCAGAAATTTCCATGAATCTGTGTTTATGTCATGTTCACAGATTTGTATTGCTTGTAGGTTTCTGTTGGTTATCACAAATGAAGCACAGTACTGATACTAGTCTTATACTGCTATGAAATGAGATATTACATATTCGAGTATGTGATAGCACCTATTCTAAAAGTTGATATAAATGAATGGCAATACCAAATCAGCGCCTCACAATCTTTACTTAGAAGCACAAGTTATTGTTATGATTGAAAAAAAACTTTAATTAAGTTTGATTATTAAATCATCTTGCCATACAATAATATTAATTATAAAATAATTTTTGCTAGGGAGAATATATGTATTGGATTACTTCATCATAATTTTAATGTACAAATAGTATTTTATATAAAACGATTAAAGTGAAAAGAAAAGTGTCGAGCGTCAATGTAAACGTCACTTAAAGAATTATGAACTTCATTTTTGAAAATTTTATTTTACTGTTAAAATGTGTTATTATGAAAAATTTGTATGTAACGTAAACCTTTATGATCAATTGGACTGAAAGAAAGCAGAAGAAAGACTTTCTATATACAATCCAATATATATAGTTTTATATAAGAAATCATTATTGTACAGGACGAAAATAATATAATTTTGATTCAATTAAAGCTTTTAAATAGTTCTTCCATCGCAAATATGAAGAACAGAAGTGTATTAACATTATTTTTTTCTGTCACTGAAATAGCTATTTACAATTATGCAACAAAAATTCCGACATCAAAGTTGCAGCTCATATTGCTTTAAAATAACGTCAATTTGATGTTACCGAAATTGACACCAACACCGTACGCGATGGCCATGTATATATACATGTGTCATACTACCAGACCTAGGAAGGCGTAAAAGGGAAGCACGGAGTGGGCAAGTGCAACAGTAACGGTCTGCTGCTTCTCCAGACCTGTGCTGAGCATGGCCTTCTCATCACAAACACCGTTTTCTGCCTTCCCACCCGTAACAAGGCATCATGGATGCACCCTCGCTCAAAGCACTGGCATCTCATTGACTACGTCATTGTCAGGAAGAGAGGCAGACAGGATGTTCGTGTCACCAAGGCAATGTGCGGCGCCGAGTGCTGGACAGATCACCGTCTCATCGTCTCCAAATTCAGCTTCCGGATCAAACTCAAGATACGTCCTCAGGGGAACAAGGCTCCAAAACGCCTCAACGTTGGCAAGCTCAAGTTGCCTTCCACCTCTCAGTACTTTGCTGAAACCCAGGAAGCACGCCTGAACTCCACCGTGCTGGATGACCACGACGTGGAAGCAGCATGGAGCACACTTTGGAATATAGTGTACAACACAGCCTTCGACTGTCTGGGGCCCTCCACCAAGAAACACAAAGACTGGTTTGATGAGAACTGTTCAGAGATTACGCAGCTTCTGGCGGACAAGCATCGCGCTTACAAGGCTCATATAGATGATCCCACCTCCACAGCCAAGAAAGACGCTCTGAGGAACGCTCGCATCACAGTACAGCAAAAGCTTCGGGATATGCAGGACTCCTGGCTGAATGCCAAAGCTGACGAGATCCAACACTACGCCGACATGAAGAACTTTTACTTTGGACTGAAGGAAGTCTACGGGCCAACTCAATCAGGTCATCTCCTCTACTCAGTGCGAACGGGTCAATCCTCATCACAGAGAAGGAAAAGATACTCAACAGGTGGGCGGAGCATTTCAATGGCGTTCTGAACTGCCCTTCTACTATCAACGACGAAGCCATCAACCGACTGCCCCAGGTTCCCATCAGCTAGTCAATGGACGCCGTTCCCACGCTGGAAGAGATCCAGAAAGCAATTAGTCTACTGTCAACTGGCAAAGCACCTGGCGGAGACTCCATCCCAGGTGAAATTTACAAAGAAGGGGGCATGGTTCTAGTCGAAAAACTTTTTTGAGCTCATTTGGAACCAGGAGAAGTTGCCTCAAGACCTCAAGGACGCCTCAATCAACCACCTGTACAAGCGAAAGGGAAATAGACAGGCTTGTGACAACCACCGTGGAATTTCCCTTCTCTCCATCGCAGGCAAGACGCCAGTTCCACTTAACCGTCTCATTAAACACCTTGAGGATTGCCTCCTGCCCGAGAGTCAGTGTGGCTTCCGGAAAAATCGCGGTACAATGGACATGGTGTTCGCTACACGTCAGCTGAAAGAGAAGTATCAGGAACAGAACTCCGACCTGTACTCCATTTACGTTGATCTGACCAAGGTTTTTGACACAGAGAAGGCCTGTGGCGAATTATTGCGAAGTACGGATGCCCAACAAAATTCATCACCATTGTTCGACAGCTGCACGATGGGATGCAGGCGAGAGTCCAAGATGGCGGCGAATCTTCAGAGCCATTCTCTGTCTCAAATGGAGTGAAGCAGGGTTAAGTCCTCGCCCTGACGCTCTTCAGCTTGATGTTCTCCGCCATGCTTATCGATGCCTTCGATGACACGGACACCGGAATCTGCATCAAATGGCGCTTTGATAGCTCAGTCTTCAACCTTAGACGTCTACAAGCGAAGCCAAATCGGACACCATCAACGACTTCCTGTTTGCTGATGATGCTGCCCTCAACGCTACCTCCGAGGTTAATATACAGCACAGCGTTGACAAGTTCTCTAATGCCTGCGACAACTTTGGCCTTACTATCAGCACAAAGAAGATCGAAGTCATGAACCAGCCAGCACCAGGCAAACCGTATGTTGAGCCTAACATCACCATCAACAACCAACGGCTAAATGTAGTGGACAAGTTTACGTACCTCGATAGCACTCTCTCCAGCAACATTGTGATTGATGATGAGGTGAATGCTAGACTGACCAAGGCGAGTGTTGCTTTCAGCAGACTGTTCAAGAATGTGAGGGACAGAAGAGGCATCACAACAGAGATATAGAGTAAGGTTTACCGTGCAGTAGTTCTAACCACACTGCTGTATGTCTGTGAAGCATGGACTGTCTACCAGAGGCACGCCAAAAAGCTGAACCACTTCCACATGACGAGCCTCAGAGAGCTTCTCGGTATCAAATGGCAAGAAAGATTCCAGACACAGAAGTCATCGCCCGAGCTGGCTTGCCCAGCATCTACACCATGCTCTTGCAGTCACAACTCCACTGGGTGGAACACATATAGTCCGTATGCCAGACCATCGACTCCCCAAGAAACTACTCTTTGGTGAACTACTGGAAGGAAAGCGTGCCCGTGGTGCCCAAAAACGCGATTCATGGACAGCTTTAAGGCCTCCCTCAAGGCATTCAGTATCAACCCTGATTCATGGAAAGTTTGCAACACAAGATGTGGGTGGAGAGCCGCAGTCAACGAGGGTGCCAAGAGTTGTGAAGCCAACAGGGTGTGTTCAGCAGAACAACGCAGGCAGGCCAGGAAAGACAGCGCCAAGGACCTGGGAGCTGCCACCATCCCCTGCCCTCACTGTCCGTGACTATTCCGTGCGAGGATCGGCCTGACCAGTCTCCTCCGCACCCACTATCCAGGTCAATCCCCTCCCACACGAAGATGAGACAGTGGTCATCGTCGCCACCGATGGACGAACAAACAAAACAACAAACAACTTCTTTATTCATTGTTAGGAATCATGCAAAAAAATGTGTAAGCTGTAAAACGGTCAATTCTCTAAACCGTTCGTCACACTGAAACAAAAATTAGATAGACTTTAGACCACAAGAATGTTGCTTGCAACATAGTTTGAACTTTATTGGACTCTTCCCTGGAGTTGAAGAGTTCCACTAAATGAAGGACCTGTGTGCAATACTTTTAATGACTATATATGGATTTGTACACCTCTTCTGAAACAATATTTGATGAAAAAAAATCTTTATTTTATGTTTTGTCATTTTTGTACATTTTTCTATGAATAATGCAAAAATGTTCACAATTTTATATCTTTTCAAAACCCCTGGTAACGAATGCTTATTTTTTTTTTGTCTAGGAACATGTAATGGTATTATAAGTTTAAATTTATATTATCTTGAAAAATTATCAGTAGGTACGGTACCTTGCATATGTCCTTAACCTTTTTATTTTATTTAAATTAATCTGATTTTTATTTATCGGAGGCAGTACTGCTAACATTATTCTGTATTTTGCAATTGTGTGACTTGATAATAATGTCCGAATATGTAGTCAATATATCTATACCTGTATACATCTGATGATATTTGATGCGTCATCGTCCCGAGCTCAGGTGGATCCTGCTTCATTGGTTGTTTCGGCGTTGTCCACTAAAACCCCCAGAGGTACGCCGACGGTGAATAAGTCCCAGCCCGGAACCACTCAGCTCCCCGCCTTCACTGCAACACACTAAATGTTCATTCTCAAGCAAATACACAGTGTTAGTGTTGCACTTCCCAATGTTCTTCTCTTTTCTTCCATATCCACATGGATGCCACTCCTGTCTTTCTACCCAGGCGTCCAATGAGTTGCCGTCTCTCATTTCCTATTACACGAACAATTCGCAACGCCCTCCACATAGATTGCCCTACAAAACCACGGCATCCAGCTTCCACTGGGAGAAACCACACTCTCCAGCCCCGTTGTTGACAATCTGCCACCAGATCCTGGTACTTATTCATTTTCTATTTATGGGCTTCTTCAATTCTGTCCTACCACGGCACTGTAAGTTCCAGCATAATAACAAGCCGGGCTACGGTAGACCAAATAACAATATCTGGTCTATGATCAGTAGATGCTATTTCCTGTGGAAACTGCATTCGGCTGTTGAGATCTGCTTGCATTTCCCAGTCATTGGCGGTCCCCAACAGTCAACCTCTTTCCATTCCCCGAGTACGACTCTGCAGTCTCTGGGACTCTCTTATCCATATCTCGTTCCAAGATAACTTCTTCTGTCGGACACCCTCCCAGTTTAATCAGCTTCCATTCTTCTTCATACCAATTGCCTTCACCATTCTTGAGTGCTCTTCCATTTTGCGCACTTCTTTCTGCACCAGTTGCCTCTTCTCCGCTTTCGACGGTGTACCTATTTTGTCGATGGTATCATTCCTATTCCCTGCCTACCTACTGCCACACTTCCCACAATGTTGGCTTGTCTCAGGCGTGACTCTGCCTCACACACTGTTTTCTTTGCAGACTACTTTCTGCCAGTGCTGATGTTCACTCTTGCCTCCCGTACCTTGTACTGTCGCGTAACATCAGATACTGCCTGGCCTTGGTGACCTTGAATTCCTCAACAATTGACGTCAGTGGTAGTTGCAACTTTGTTCCTGTGCTGTATAAATCAATGCTGCTAAAGCTTCCAGGAACCGCGAGCCATCTTCTAAGGTACCCACTGATCCGTCTCTCCATCCATTCAACTGATGGTACAGGCACATCATACACAAGTAGAGGACAAAAAATTCGTGGAAGTACGCCGTGCTGATATGTCCATGCCTTGTGTTTTCCTGGTAAGGCACTTTTGGCTATGGTGTTCATCCACTTCTCAAGTTGACTACTGGTGTCGTTACATTCTGTTTATCACTCAGTAAATCAGCTAAGAACTTTCCCAGGCACTTGACTGTTTTTTTTCTGAGACTGATGGGATAACCTCATCTCCAACCCTGAACTTCTATTCCGTGTTCTTCCCCTTTTTCAATTCGAGGCTCCTAGACTTTGTTGGCTTGATCTTCATACGAGCCTAACTGATGATATCATCTATCCCCTTCAAGGTCCATTTTACCTCTACGATGGTCTTTGTGCTTATTGTCATATCGTCCATGAACGCTCTGACAGGGGGATGTCTCACGCCTGCCTTCATCCATGGACCTCTGCTCATCTTCTCCACTGACTTCACCACCAAATTCATTGCTGCAGAGAACAGAATTACTGATATTGTACAGCCTGTGACAATCCCAACTTCTAGGCGCTGCCAGGATGTTGTGAAGCCCTGATTTGTGACCCGTAATTGAAGGCTGTCAAAGTAACTCTTGAGTAGCGTCAGTATCCTGTCTGGTATATGGTAGCGCTGTAGGGTAAATTGGACTAACTTATGAGGACTGGAACCAACCATATTACTGCCAGTTCTCCTTTCCTCTCTTTAGCTTCCCGTGTAATCTCTGTTAGAACACTTGTATGCTCTACGAGGGCTGTTCAATAAATAATGTCCTCGGTAATTCAGAAAGAAGCAAAAGACGTTTTTCAATGGTTTAGTCTTCATGATTTTACTAATTAATCTCTTTTAGGTAAAATACATGTCCGTAACATTTTGTATCCAATTTCTGATTGTTTTTAGAACTCATTTTTGGGTATGACCCTTAGTATACTGGAAAATGGCAGATCCAATGATTTCCCGGACTTGTTTCTTCCCTCTGGGGGGTGTTTTTTTTCAAGTTTGGAAATAGAAACAAGTCAAAAGGTCAAAGATCTGGCGAATATTGTTAATGTGAAAAAACATTAACTTTCCGTTTATCCCGAAAACCCCTTTACTCTTCAGGGCATGCCGGATTGGAAGCTGTCTTGAAGAAATACAATGTAGTGGATTCCTGAGTCTGGGTCCTTCCTCTAATAAACCTTTTCATTTTGTTGCAAAAAAATTGCTTTCTAGACTCCTCTAGAAATTAAACTGTCTCTCCGAATACGAATTTGAACAACAATACCACGAATATTAAAGAAAATTACATATAGATCTGTCTTTTTGCTCTTGAATAGCTGTGCTATTGTCAGACATTCGCCGTTTTCATCAAGTACATCTTATGGTTAATTTTGTTTTGAGGGTTTTAATCAATAGATTCATATTCCAATATCTGCTTGAAAATAAAACAAACGTGGATAACTAAAATTACTGATATTTTAAAATAATTGTGAAGAATTTCGTATACGCTGTCGTTTTCAATCATTTTTCAAAATATAGGGTGACCTCTGAGTCCCAAGCTTTTTTACCGTCAAACGTTTCTTAAAAACAGTGTAAACTACTCCCGATATGATGTCTATCAAATTTGCCTTGTGTCCCAAAGTCAATCATACATCATCAAATATTATTTGTTGAAATTTGACAACCAGTACATAAGTTGTTATAATTTTTGTTGGCAATGAGGGTACCCATTTTCGATGCCCATTATATGATTTTTTTATCATTGATATCCACCTGCTCTTTTGTCTATAAAACAGGCATTGGTTGCTGTAAATGTCATATATTTCAGTGAATATTTCTTTGGGATTTTTAACAAGTTTTACGGCAGCTATAATGAAGCTTTTATTTTCACTCTAGTTTACTGATTCTTTACCATTCATTTATAATACAGTGTCTCGAAAAGCCCTTGTTTCCCAGCTTCTCACGATGAAATTATGTGATGACAAGTGGTCACATAAACTGTTATAAATGCATGAAAGATTCAATAATGAGAGAAAGTCAAGTTTAATGTCATATGATATCTGTAATGTATGTTATATAGTTCAGGACATTATTTATTGAACAGCCCTCGTACACACCCAAGGCTGCTGACACTCCTCCTTTCTGCACAGCTATGTCTATGTACTATGAGCATCCTTCAGCTTAGTGCCAGCTGTCAGCTAACTGCCCCCTCCTCTTTTGTCCTAGTGATAAAGCTGCTATAGCCTTCCTGATGACATCTTTGACTTCTCGCAGTTTTGGTTCTGTTTTATCGAACAAATGCTCTGGCTTGCCGGGCTGCATCAGCTTCTCAAACTCTCTTATAAATCTTCGTCTCTCTTTGGATCACTGTGCATACCCTTCAAATATTATTGTTCAACTTCCTCGCTTCCCGCTGTTGGGAAAAGAGTACCAATTAATTTCCCATAGAACTCTATACAAACCTTTTGCCCTCCAAGTAATTTACTAATTCCCGTTCAAACAAATCACTGGTATTATTTGAAAGTTCGTTCTAAGCACTTATTAAAAACACGAAAAAAAATATACCGTTCCGCGGC